AGAAGCAGTGGGTAGTAGAAGATGGTATAAGCAATAGTATAATTTATCATGCTGAATATTGATGTAGAACTGTTTATCCAGGTAGGATGTAGTAAAGGCATGTGTGTCCGTGGTTACAGACTTACAGTTAGCAAGGGAGAGCTTGTAGAGAGATGGGTATTTAGTCTCGCAAAATTTCAATCTTTTGTCACGTGTAAATATATTGAGGACTCTTTTAACTCCTGACATAAATGGGCATGCTTTTTGTAAACCGTAATGAACTATATGTAACCAAACGGATCATGTAAATATAACGACTCATATACTATAGTCACAACAAGAAATATAGGTATTAGGGGCGACACTATTAGAGACGACAGGGAGTATTAGGGACGACATGCGACAAGGTGCCTTCGTGTCGTCGCTAAAAGATAGGGGTCACCGCTAAAGGGTCGCCTCTAATAGTCCACGTCGGCGATCCGTGTGACTCCCCCTGAGTGAATCGTGGTCGTTCGTTTTTGATCTGATCCAACGGATAGGGTTTCTCCGTACCAAGGTAATAGCGACGACATTAATAGAGACAACGCCGTCGTCGCTACTAGTCACCAAAAAAAAGCAAAGGCTCCTTCGTATTTAGCTTCCGATCGTGTTTCAGAACAGGCGACAACAACACTAAACCTCCATTACCTTCCGACGATTTTCCAGTGCAGATACTCGATCCTCTCGATTTCTTAGGCGACCACCACCACAAAGCTTCTCCTTTCTCCTATCCTTTCACTCCTCTCTCTCTCTCTCTCTCCTCTCTCTCTCTCTCTCTTTCTCTCTCTCTCTCTCTCTCTCTCTCTCTCTGTCTCTCTCTCTCTCCCCCCCCCCTCCCCACACCCACATTTGGCCCTGGCTGCAGTGAAACATTTTCCGGCGACAAACACTCCGATTTTCCGGCATTACAGCAGCAGTAGGTGCTCCCTTCCCTCCTTTCTCTTTCAATTTCTTTTCTAAAACGAATTTGTGTGTTAATTTTGGATTTTGGTGGTTTCACAGCAACATCTCGGGTGACACCACGTCTTCTCCGGTGATACCACATCTACTCTGGCGATCTTGACCACGGCACCACCACCTAATCGATTTTCAATTTCCAGTTTTTTTTTTTTTTTTTTTTTTTTTTTTTTTTTTTTTTTTTCCTGTTTTTAAATGTAGGTATAAAAAATGTTGGGCTTTATATGTGAAATGTATAAGTATATGTGTATTTGTATATGAAATGTATGACTATGTATGAAAAAAATGTGTGTATATGAGTATTTGCATGTGAAATATATATGTATATGTGTATTTGTATATGAACTGTATGTGTATGTATGAAAAAAATATATGTATAAGAGTATTTGTATGTGAAAAATCTATGTATATGGGTGTAGATATATGAAAATCTCTATGTTAAAATGTATGTATGTATGTATATGGAATGTATGTATTTGTATATGAAATGTATATGTATATGTGTATATTTATATAAATATGTATGAATATGTGTGGATATGTACGTAAAAATGTGTGTATATGTTTGTATATATATGTATGTATATGTGCGGATATGTATGTAAAATAAATACATCATAATAGATAATTTTTTTTCTATAAGTTAATGAAGAAACATTGGTCAAAAAGGTTTTTAAAAGAAAAAGAAATAAACCATAATAAACCAATTAAATAAATAACAATATATAATATCGTTTAAAGTAAAATTTTGTAATAAAAAAAATTAAAAATTAAAATGCTAAATCTACTAAGTTATAATTATTCAAAATAGAAAAATAAAAAGAAAAATAAATTGATAAATCTCATAAAGGTTTTAAAAAGAAAAATAAGAAGAATAATAATAAACCATAATAAACTAATTAAATAAATAACAAATATATAATATCGTTTAAAGTAAAATTTAATAATAAAAAAATTAAAAATTAAAACGCTACGCTTAATCTACTAAGTTATAATTAATCAAAATAGAAAAATAAAAACAAAAATAAATTGATAAATCAAAATTGGTCAAAAAGGTTTTAACAAGAAAAAGAAGAATAATAATAATAAACCATAATAAACTAATTAAATAAATAACAAATTGATAATATCGTTTAAAGTAAAATTTAATAATAAAAAAAATTAAAAATTAAAAACGCTACGCTAAATCTACTAAGTTATAATTAATCAAAATAAAAAAATAAAAAAATAAAATAAATTCATAAATCAAAATTGGTCAAAAAGGTTTTAAAAAGAAAAAAGAAGAACAATAATAATAAACCATAATAAACTAATTAAATAAATAACAAATAGATAATATCGTTTAAAGTAAAATTTAATAATAAAAAAAAATTAAAAATTAAAACGCTACGCTAAATCTAATAAGTTATAATTAATCAAAATAGAAAAATAAAAACAAAAATAAATTGATAAATCAAAATTGGTCAAAAAGGTTTTAAAAAGAAAAAAGAAGAAGAATAATAATAAACCATAAACGAATTAAATAAATAACAAATATATAATATCGTTTAAAGTAAAACTTAATAATAAAAAAAAATTAAAAATTAAAACGCTATGCTAAATCTACTAAGTTATAATTAATCAAAATAGAAAAATAAAAACGAAAATAAATTGATAAATCAAAATTGGTCAAAAAGGTTTTAAAAAGAAAAAGAAGAAGAATAATAATAAACCATAATAAACTAATTAAATAAATAACAAATATATAATATTGTTTAAAGTAAAATTTAATAATAAAAAAAATTAAAAATTAAAACGCTACGCTAAATCTACTATCGTTTAAAGTATCATGCTATAATAAAAAAAAATTTAAGAAATATTCGGTTGTTATTTTCTCTTTGCTTCTCGATATATGTGTATTACATGATTGATTGTTTAAGAAGCCTACCCTTGTGAATACTCTCCTATTGTCTGGTTTTCTATTCCATCTGATTGAGCGGTTACTCTATCCTTATAAATATTCAATCCAAGTTCTACTTCTTGTAGAGTAAACACTAAAACCTAACTTATGTTTTAGTTGTAACATGTCTATTGATAAAACGTGGACTACTATTGAAAACCGTAACTCTACCTTGTTCCAACAAGGACTTAAATCTCTTCTCGAGAGGTTCAAACCACATGTCGATAACAAAGGTCAAATTAGATGCCCGTGTAACAAATGCAATGTCAATAAATTTATACTACTGGCCATAATGAAATTCCATATACTTCAACATGGTTTTAGTCCACATTATATTATATGTAAGTATCACGGAGAAAATACAACTCACCCGGTTGTCGAAGACATACCGCGTAGTAACGAGATGGCCGATGTTATTGATGATGTTATGGGAGGTGTGATTGAAAATGATACCAACTGCAATGAAGGGAACCTAGATAAAGATGGTAGAGGTGTTGATGTTGGATTTCAAAAGCTGTTAGAGGAAGTCCAATTCAAATTATATCCTGGATGTTCGTTTTCGTCCCTTGACTTTTTAGCAAAGTTGATGCACATCAAGGTGATCAACAAATGGATTGATAGTTCATTCGATGAGCTTCTTGAGTTGTTGCAAACTGCATTTCTTGAAGGAATCAGGGTCCCCCCGTCACATTACGAAGCAAAAAAGACACTTAAAAAGATCGGCTTAGGTTATGAGTCAATACACGTATGTAAAAATGACTACTTTCTTTTCTGGAAAGAACATGAGTTGTTGCAAAAATATCCAGTTTGTAATGAGAGTCGGTGGGTTGATGAAAATACAAAGGGTAAGAAGGTGGCTCATAAGGTTTTACGATACTTTCCCATGACCCCCAGACTACAACGTTTGTACTTCTCAAGACGCACAGCTAAAGATATGATTTGGCATAGTACCGGACAATCCAAAGATGGTACGATGATTCATCCCGTTGATGGTACTTCATGGAAAAAATTTGATATGAAGTATCCTGACTTCTCGAGGGAACCCCAAAACGTACACTTAGGGCTTGCTGCTGATGGTTTTAATCCGTTTGGTAACATGTGTAATCCTCACAGCACGTGGCTTGTCATACTCACCACTTACAATCTTCCACCATGGCTATGCATGAAAGAGTCATCTTTCATGTTGACCTTTACTTACACCGCTTGCATAGTGAATGGTGTTAGGTATATGGTACTTATGCGTGACGCCCAATGATCAACACAAAACTCGGGGGTTCTAACTGAGGGAGAGCATAAGCAGAAATATTATGGTCAGCTAGAAGAGATTATCGAGTTGCATTATCCTCATAAATATTCCACCGTACTCTTTCATTGCAAGTGGTTGGATACTGCATGAGTTAAATCTGATAATAATTTCACCAGTATCGACCCACAACGCGAATTGAGCAGCGAAGATCAACTCATATTTGCTACACAAGCCAAACAGGTAGTTTACATCCAATAACCTTCTCCAAGTGACGAAAATGACACCCAACGGTGGGTTGTTGAAAATGTTAATCATAGAAGAATTTGGGATCTACCGATGAATGATGTTGATCATGATCCCATTGAAAATGTCGATAATGATTCAACCGATGTTGTTCTTAGTAATGCTTCTTCTAATTTCACTCTCTCAATTGATTTTAGCCAGTACTTTCAAAATTCTCAATCGGTTGAAGATGATATTGAAGTTGACCCACCGACGAGTATCATCAATAATGTGTCTGATTGCGAGACTGATTATGATGAGGAAGATTCTGATTATGATAGTGATGTATCGGCAGACACTAAAGTGTCTGGGGGCGAGAATGATTAAAAAAATCTTTTTACATTTAATTAGTAAAATAAGGTTTGTATTTGTTTTAGTCATATTATATATATATATATATACACATATATATATATATATATATATATATATATATATATATATATACACACACATATATATATATATATATATATATATATATATATATATATATATATTCATATTGTGTTATAATTTTTTAGGATGTCATTTTTTTGGATTGCATTGCTCCATCTCATGGCTGTTGTGATGGGTCATGGAGGCGACGGTGGTGACGAGCCACCACATCCGTTCGGTGGGGGTTTTGGTGATGACCAAAACGATGGTAATTATAATTTATTCTAATTCATTGTATTTCATATTGTATGTATATAAAAAATTATTATGACTAATATTTGTTTTATGCAGTGGTGCCTCCGAAACGAAGAGGCATGGCGGTAAATAAAAAAATGCACAAACTCTATAAAGCTAATGGTGAACAGCCTCTTAAGATAGTATTTGACGTAAATACTAACATGCCGATTGGGGAGGTGTACGAATGTTTTATTCGGGAGGTTGGAAGCTATATGTGGCGGGACATCGGTTTTGATAAAGACACATGGACAGAGGTTTTTGAAGCCGAAAGTGTTGGAATGTTGTAGTATCTTTCGGTAAATTATTTATAAAGTTATATATTTAATATTTTTAATTTTGATTTATGTTTAATTTCTCTCTATTTTTTTTGTAGAGATGGTTTGATTTTGACGCGATTACAAATCATCCCATGGTTTCAACTTATTGGGTATCACTAAACAATCGGATATGTGCGCGGTATAGAGGCCACAAAAATATTGCAAAAAACCGTTTTGATGATTTTGCAGGGAATGTGGAGGCAGCAAGGGCTCAAGCCCCTAGGGGTATGGATCAGCAGCGTTGGAATGTTACTATTGACCATTTCTTAACAGAATAACATCAAAAATGATCCGCTGGAAACAAAGAATGCCGGAAGAAGCAAGTAGTGAAGAATCGTAGAGGGACGTGCAGCTACGGTAGTGCTTGTTTCAAGAAAGTAAGTTATAATAATGTTTATTCAGTTATAACATATTTTTTTTAATGTTTATTCAAATATAACATATTTTGCAATGTTAAACAGAATTTGAATAGACTTGAAGTATTTCATCGTGCGCATGTAAATAAAAGAGGGGAATTTGTTGATCCATTGGTTGAAGAGCAATATGTAAGTTATTATTACTTAGAAATGAAGTAGATTGTTGAATTTTTTTTGTTTTAACATATATTAACAATCTTTGTAAAATACATAATGCCTTAGTTGCTGAGGTTGCCCTACAGACTCATCACATAGCCGACTTTGGTGGTGATCCAGACACCATTGATTGGATCGCAATATTTGAGAAGGTGTTGGGTACTCGATGGGGGCATGTGAGAGGCATTGGGCCTAAAGCTTCTTCAGCTGCGGGTACAAGTGCTTCATCCTAATGGCAGTCACAGTCACAAGCATCGCAACTAACACAGGTACTTGTTAAATTCTTAAAAAATTTGGTTGCTTTGTTATATTGTTAAGAACTTAATGTATTTGTAGTAATTTTTGGTAGCTCGGTAGTTTCTTAAATTGTAATAGACTTAATTGATTTGGTGCTTTGATAGTTTGATAGTTTGTTGAATTGTTCATAACTTATTTGTTTGTGACTTAATTGTAGGATGTTGATGTGAATGCTTTTCTTCAAAACCCGGGATTTGTGACGGCCATTGGAGACATTAATCGCTTTTTTAAAAACCAAGTCAATGAGGAAAACAACGATGGGGAGGACGGTGAGGAAGACGAAGACAACTAGTATTTCTTGTTTTATGATATGGATGATGTTATTTTTGATTTGGAAAATAGTTTATGTATGATATATATTAAACGTTTGTTTGAGATTTATTAGATATGGTATGTTTGATGTTTGTTTGGAAAATAGTTTATGAAATATGGTATTTTTGATGTTTTTATATAATGTGGTATGTATTTATATATGTATTTTTATCAAAACAACATTTTATAATATATATAAATTAATATTATAAAATAAGTTTTTCTCAAAAAATAAAATAAAATAAAATAAAATAAAAACAATTAGCAGCGATGCCTTTAGAGACGATTACTGTCAATTGTGACGACGTGGACCTCCGGCTAGTATTCCCGGAAAATCCTACCGGTTGCTGGAATATTAATAGGGACGACACTATTTGAGACGGCAGTATTAGAGACGATATGGGGCTATTAGCTACGAGCTAATTGCGGCGACGCATTAGCGACGACGTGGCATCGCTAATACTATTAGCGACGACAGAGATGATCAATTGCGACGACTTATGTTGCCGCTAATGGTTAGTATTTTTATAGTGAGTATATTTTTGAACTTTTGAACAAACTGTATAATCTATGTGCTTAACTTGTTTTTTAGAAACATTTTATGAACATTTTGTGAACAAACAAGTCATTTAACACTTCTACGCTAATGTCTAACAAAAAAGCCACATAAAACTTACCTTCTTTTTCACTTACTCCAATAGGATTGTAAGAACCTGTTCTTTCAAGTCAATAAAAATCAATGAAATTCCCACTAGTTCAATCAAAGCTTACACCAGATCAAACAAAGAGTTAAATCTATTCATATCTAAGTTTAATACTTAGCTTAAATTATAATACATCTTAATATATTAGTGGTTTTTATTCCAAGGAATTTTAAATGAAAACCAATACTGAAAACCCTAACCTGGCACAAATGAAAATTCACATTTGCAACCCTTGTTGCAATTGCAACATCTATAGCCTTAAGAGTTGTTTATAACCTAGTAATTAAGCATGGGTTGAAACCTAGGTTAATTTATGTTAATATGAAATTATATAAATCAAAGGATTAAGGACTAAAACATAAATATACACCTTATAAAGGTGTTCTTGGTCATCGAAGTCAATAAATTACTTGAATTGGGTCATAGGAATTGAATAAATAGGGAATTCGATTATGAGAATCTAGTCTAAGTGGATTGTTCGGCCATTTGAAGCAAACAAGGAGTGTATTCGGTCTTGGCATGACCGAAGACACAAGAATGAGGCCCATTAGGACCGAATTCCCCAAGATCCAGCCCAATAAGGAACGAACACCCCCCCCCCCCTCTTTATATATGTGTGTGTTAGGCCGATTTCCCAATTCATTTCCCACTTTTGCCACCGAACTCTTGCAAAGTTTTCTCTCAAAAGTCATAAGAAATTTACTCAGATCTTCATCCCATCTTCAAATCTTCAACCGAATTCATCAAACCCACCTTCAAATCTTAATATATTCTTCAAATCTTCAAACACCCCCTCAAGAACACAAGAACACACTGAATTCATCCCAATCCCCCACCAAAAACTCAATTTCCACGGAAATCACCCTCCCCTTTATTTCCAAATATTCCAAATTAATTTGTAAGTATCATTTACTTAATCAATTATTCAATTCACTACTTAAATTAATTAATTATTAATTTAACTAGGATGACGGATATAATTATTTTTAGGGGGGGGGGGGATACAAGTTAAACACAAGGACTATTGTGTTTATACAAATATTTTTAAATATTTTAAAAACCTTTGCAATTACTTCAAAACGAGCCTTCCCTACACTTCCTAAAATATTTTACATATTTTAACCCTTTTGTAATATGTCGAGAATAAGACTAATTACTTATACAATTAAATTGCATATGTTTTTATTTCACTACGAAACATACATTTAAACTATAGTCGATATAGTTGGGAATTCGTTACATTATTTTATTAAGTACGATACACAAAGCAAGAACACACAATTAAACTATAATAGGTATAGTTTGGAAATCACTACTCTAGTACGTGGATACATGTACTCACTATTAATATAATTATTTAAGTATAATTATTTTACACTACAAGATACTTTAATATGATACAATACTTACTATTTTCTAATACAAGAGAACACTACGACACTACAACACTATACGTAAACTAGTTGATACAGGGTTGTGAGACAATACTTCACTAGTATCCTTTAGCGTACGAAACTACATCCTATAAAGTATAACCAGAGTCTCCTGAAGGGAGAGCGTGAGATTTATGTATAAATCTATACGAGACTGACAATCCCACACCAGAGCTGCTTGCAACAACTTGGTCGGCAGACATGTGGTGACAAATGTCATAATTATCGGACGCCTGAAGAACGTCTTAGAGGTCACTAGGTCACATCATCATGGTTATATGAAGCTCACAACAGTATAACTAACAAGTATGTTTACGGGATAAACTCTACTTCAATGGTTTTATTTTTATTAATAAGACTACATTACACTATTTACACTATAGCTAGTAGTAACCGGGCATGCATACAAGGTTTCATAAAAATATCACTGTGGTACATTACTTTACTCTACAACTGGTAAATACCAGGTTTTCATACTAAGGTTTTATACATACGCTATTATAATACACTACTTTCACTACCACTGGTGGTATCCAGGTATATATACAAAGGTTTTTCATACAAATACAGATACAACCCACTGTTTTCTGACACAAAGTACACTAATACAATATTTAAATACAAGGAATATACATGATTACACTACATTCACTATAGAAAATATTGGGTTTTATTGAGAAACACACTAGTATTTTCAAATTACTAGACAAGTTTTTCTAGTACTAAATTATAATTATGAAATCACCGACATAAATGTCGATACACTTTCAAAATCACTTGTATTCTCAGTGAACCGATAAGACAGATACACCTGCAAGATTTTGAGAAGACGAAGCTTTCTAGAGTCATGTCTTTTATATATTGTTATACATTTTGATATCACACAAACTATGTATTGAACAGATGTAAATACTCCACTTTATCAATGCAATGGTTGTGTTTTCTTTGATTCCTATTATACAATTGTTGTGATATTGTACGTGACGTCCTCCGCCCGTGAATGTTTCTGCTATTTTGGTTTGGGGTGTGAGAGATTGGTATCTGAGTATTGGTTATAGTGAACTAAGTATATCAAACATTACATGGTATACATCTATAAACACTAAGGGCGGAAGCGCTCTGAACTAAAATTATACTTTTAAAATCTAAGTATTTTATAAGAAGTATACTAACACTACATACATACCAGAAGTAGTATCATAAGAGCAAAGCAAAAGTATTTACATGTTGAACACTACGGTTTAACCTGGGCAGTTATCTAATAATATATGCGATAAATATAGCCTGATAAACTATATTTATTTGAGATACCACCAACATGTATTTGGGAGTGACAGAGGTGTTGCAACAAGTATAAAACTTACCCAACTCCATACAAAAGGGGATAATAGAAGAAAGCATATAAACTAAAATACTATAGGAGTATTTTGTAGCACTATGATGCTAGAGCCAAACATATTGTACATATTTCATTCCAGGATGCAAAAACTAGAGCAAGATCTTTGGAATATGAAGATGAAGGGTTCCAACATTATTGCATATACTGTTGGGTTCAGTGACCTGGCTCTTTTGTGTCCCGGGTTGGTCACCCCGGAAAGCAAGAAAGTTGAAAGATACATATGGGGATTGACATCCCCAACTTAGGGGAATGTCTTAGCTGCTAAACGCCTCACATTTGATAGTGCCAAGCGCCTGGCAAAGGCCTTAGTGGATCACGGGGATAGCCACAACCCCGTAGTAGCCACTCCCGAACCACGGAAAGAAGGTAGTGGGAAGAAAAAGTTCTGGAACAAATTCAAGTGTTAATCTTTGTAGGAGCCCTCCAAGAAACAGTAAATAGTGGCAGTCCATGCTGCCACCATACTTGCTGTTTGTCACACCCCCAAACCAAGGATGGCGGAAATGTCCAGGGGTGGAGGACATCATGTACAGTATCACAACAACGTGTATAATAATGCTCAAAGTAAATACAACCATCATAAATATAATTGAAAAAGTTACACCAAAGTATATGTTTACATGTTTCAAAATCAATTACATTATGATGACAAAAATAAATTGTTGACGGTTTAACGTCCCATCCTCAAAGCGCTGAAGTTTTCCTGTTTCACTGATTTCCTGAGAATACAAGTAGTTTTGAAATAGTGTCAACAATTAAGTTGGTGAGTTCATAAGAGTTTTGTTTGGAGTAGAAACCGTTTTCCTTTTAAAATCGATAGAGTTTGATCTCCAGAAAATCCAATATTTTCTTAGTTAAGTGTAAACAGAATATTCTTATATGGTGTGTTGATGTATCCTAGATTGACCCGTAGATTTCCCCTATAATCGTCCAGCGTATATAAGTTATATAAGATTTAGGTTAGATAAAACGTCGAATATAATGGGTCCGCCCTAGGTCCACAACCAAACAAGGAACAGGAGATGAGGCGGGCCCACCAATTCTAAGCCAATCACGACTAGATTCTATATAACTCTATCATATACACTTAGAAATTATAGCTGAAAACTAACAATGCGAAAGTGAATGCGGACTTAAACCCAATAACCGGAACCAATCCTGGTGTAGTGCCCAGAATAGAAATACTGACTGTGAATATAAACTATGCATACTAGTTTACCTAAAGTGGTGGTGATTGTGAATATAACCTATACATATCATAGTTCACCGGGGAGTAATAGTGATTAGTGAACCTGAACTATGCATATTATAGCTTATCAAAAGTGATGGTGAATATAACCTATACATATCATAGTTCACCGGGGAGTAATAGTGATTAGTGAACCTGAACTATGCATATTATAGCTTATCAAAAGTGATGGTGAATATAACCTATACATATCAT